AAATTTTTTTAATGTTTATTCATTTTTGAGAGAGAGAGAGAGAGAGATTGTGAGCGAGCAGGGGAGTGGCAGAGGGAGAGGCAGGCGCAGAATCCAAAGCAGGCTCCAGGCTCTGACCTGTCAGCACAGAGCCCAACATGGGGCTCAAACCCACGAGCTGTGAGATCATGACCTGAGCCAAAGTCGGCCGCTTAACCGACTGAGCCACCTGGGTGCCCCTACTGTTGTTGTTGTTGTTTTTTTTAAGTTTTATTTATTTAAGTAATTGCAACACCCAACATGGGGCTTGAACTCAGGAGCCCGAGATCAAGAGTTGCCTGCTCTTCCAACTAAGCCAGTCAGTTAACTGTTACTGTTATTTATTTTTTTATTACTGTTATTTTTAAGTGAATAAATATTTAAACATTTATTTTATTTTAGTTTAGTTTAGTTTAGTTTTTTGATTTAAATCCAAGTTAGTAACGTAAAGTGTAATAATGATTTCAGGAATAAAATTTAGTGACTCATCACTTGCATATAGCACCCAGTGCTCATCCCAACAAGTGTCCTTAATGCCCCTCACCCATTTAGCCCATCCCCCCACCCAATACCCTGCCAGAAACCCTGTTTGTTCTCTGTATTTAAGAGTCTCTTGAAGCACCTGAGTGGCTCAGTTGGTTAAGTGTCCAACTTCAGCTCAGATCTTGATCTCATGGCTTGTGAGTTTGAGCCCCGCATCAGGCTCTGTGCTGACAACTCAGAGCCTGGAGCCTGCTTCGGATTCTTTGTCTCCTTCTCTCTCTGCCCCTCCCCCACTCGTGCTCTGTCTCTTTGTCTCTCAAAAAAAAAAAAATAAATAAACATTAAAAAAAAAAAAGGGTCTCGGGGCGCCTGGGTGGCGCAGTCGGTTAAGCGTCCGACTTCAGCCAGGTCACGATCTCGCGGTCCGTGAGTTCGAGCCCCGCGTCGGGCTCTGGGCTGATGGCTCAGAGCCTGGAGCCTGTTTCCGATTCTGTGTCTCCCTCTCTCTCTGCCCCTCCCCTGTTCATGCTCTGTCTCTCTCTGTCCCAAAAATAAATAAACGTTGAAAAAAAAAAAGGGTCTCTTATGGTTTGTCTCCCTCTCTGTTTTTATATTACTTTTGCTTCCCTTCCCTTATGTTCATCTGTTTTGTTTTTTAAATTCCACATATGAGTGAAATCATATGATATCTGTCTTTCTCTGACTTATTTTGCTTAGTATAATACACTCCCGTTCCATCCACTTTGTTGCAAATGGCAATATTTCATTCTTTTTCATCTCCAAGAAATATTCCATTGTATGTATATATATCACATCTTCTTTATCCATTCATCAGTTGATGGACATTTAGGCTCTTTCCATACTTGGCTATTGTTGATGGTGCTGCTGTAAATTTTGGGGTGCATGTGCCCCTTCGAATCAGCATTCCTGTATCCTTTGGATACTACTAGCAATTGCCTAGTAGTGCAATTGCTAAGTCGTAGGATAGTTATATTTTTAATTTTTTGAGGAACTTCGATACTTTTTTCCAGACTGGCTGCACTAGTTTGCATTCCCACCAACAGTGCCAGAGGGTTCCTCTTTCCTCGCCAACATCTGTTGTTGCCTGAGTTGTTAATTTTAGCCATTCTTACAGATGTGAGGTGATATCTCATCGTGGTTTTGATTTGTATTTCCCTGATGAGGAGTGATGTTGAGCATTTTTTCATGTGTCTGTTAGCCATCTGTAAGTCTTCTTTGGAAAAGTATATGTTCGTGTCTTCTGCCCATTTCTTCACTGAATTATTTGTTTTTTTGGGTGTTGAATTTTATAAGTTCTTTATAGATTTGGATACTAACCCTTTATCTGAAATATCATTTACAAATTTCTTCTCCCATTCTGTCAGTTGCCTTTTAGTTTTGCTGATTGTTTCTTTTGCTGTGCAGAAGCTTTTTATCTTGATGAGGTCCCAATAGTTCATTTTTGCTTTTGTTTCCTTTGCCACTGGAGACATGTCAAGTAAGAAGTTGCTGCAGCCAAGGTCAGAAAGGTTGTTGCCTGTTTTCTCCTGTAGGATTTTGATGGCTTCTTGTCTTACATTTAGGTCTTTCATCCATTTTGAGTTTATTTTTGTGTATGGGGTAAGAAAGTGGTCCAGGTTTATTCTTCTGGATGTTACTGTCCAGTTCTCCCATCACCATATGCTAAAGAGACTATCAATATTCTTTTTGCTTTGTCAAAGACTAGTTGACAATTCAGTTGCGGGTCCACTTCTGGGTTCTCTATTCTGTTCCATTGATCTATGTGTCTATTTTTATGTCAATAACATACTGTCTTGATGACCACAGCTTTGTAATATAGGCTAAAGTCTGGGATTGTGATGCCTCCAGCTTTGGTTTTCTTTTTCAGGATTGCTTTGGCTATTTGGGGTCTTTTCTGGTTCCATACAAATTTTAGAGTTGTTCTAACTCTGGGAAGAATACTGGTACAATTTTGATTTGGATTATATTGAATGTGTAGATTGCTTTGGATAGTATTGGCATTTTAACAATATTTGTTCTTCCAATCCATGAGCATGGAATGTTTTTCCATTTCTTTGTGTCTTCTTCAATTTCTTTCATAAACTTTCCATAGTTTTCAGTATATAGATTTTTCACCTCTTTGATTAGGTTTATTCCTAGGTATCTTATGGTTTTCGTGCAGTTGTAAATAGGATTGATTCCTTGATTTCTCTTTCTGTTCCTTCATTATTGGTGTGTAGAAATGCAACTGATTTATATACACTGATTTTATGTCTTGCAATGTGGCTGAATTCATGGATCAGTTCTAGCTCAGTTTTTGGTGGAGTCTTTTGGGGTTTCCACAGAGTATCATGTCTGCAAAGAGTGAAAGTTTGACTTCACCCTTACTGATTTGGATGCCTCTTATTCCTTTGTGTTGTCTGATTGTTGAGGCTAGGACTTCCAACAGAATGTTGAATAACAGTGGTGAGAGTGGACATCCTTGTGTTCCTGACCTTAGGGAGAAAGAATTCAGGTTTTTTCCATTGAGGATGATATTATACGTGGGTCTTTCGAATATGGCCTTTATAATCTTGAGGTATGATCCTTCTATCCCTACTTTCTGGAGGGTTTTTATCCAGAGAGTATGTTGTATTTTGTCAAATGTCTTTTTCTGCATCTATTGTGAGGATCATGTAGTTCTTATCCTTTCTTTTATTAATGGGATGTATCACATTGATTTGCAGGTATTGAACCAGCCATGCAGCTCAGGGATGAATCCCACTTGACTGTGGTGGATAATTTTTCCCCCCTACCTCCCATCCCCTGGTAACCCCCATTTTATTCTACGTTTCTACCAGTTCAGCTTTTTTAGGTTCCGGGTGTAAGTGATATCATACAGTATCTGTCTTCCTTTTTCTGGTTTATCTCACTAAGCATAATGTCCTCCAGCTCAATCCATGTTGTTCTGAATGGCAGGATTTCCTCCTTTCTATTGGCTGAATAATGTTCCATTGTGTACATGTGTACGTGTGTACGAGTGTGTGTGTGTGTGTGTGTGTGTGTGTGTGTGTGTGTGTGTATCACATCTTCTTTATCCATTCATTCTTTGATAGTCACTTAGGTTGTTTCCATATTTTGCCTGCTATAAATAATGCTTCAATAAATGGAAGTGCAGATAAATACCTTTACAAATTGCTGTTCTCATTTCCTTTGGGTAAATACCCAGAATTGCTGGATCATGTGGTAGTTGTAGTTTTAATTTTTTTCAGGAACCTCCATACTGTTTTCCATGGTGGCTGCAACAGTTCACATTCCCACCACCAGTGCACGAGGGCTCTCTTTTCTTCACATTATCACCAATGCTTATTTTCTTTTGTCTTTTTGATGGTAGCCATTTTTAAAATTATTATTTTTTGAGAGAAAGAGGGAGAGAGAGCATACACATGTGAGCTGTGGTGGCAGAGGGAAAGGGAGAGAGAAAATCCTAAGCAGGTTCCACACCCAGCTCAGAGATTGATCCTATGACCTGGATATCATGACCTAAGCCAAAATCAAGAGTCAGACGTTTAACTGACTGAGCTGCATAGGTGCTTAATGATAGCCATTTTAACAGGTGTAAGGAGATAGCTCATTGTTCCTTTTTAAAGATTTTATTTTTAAGTAATTTCTGCATCCAATGTGGGGCTCATGAATTGTTCTCCCTTCATCTGTGCTAATAGTCCCTGCTCTGATATTTACTTTGACAGTATAGCCACTCCAGTTTTCTGTAAGCACTATTTGCATGCAATATCTCTTTCCACCATTGTACTTTTAGTATCCCTCTATCTTCATCTTTAAAATGGGTTTCTGAGGTGCCTGGGTGGCTCAGTTGGTTAAGAGTGTGGCTCTTGATTTCAGCTCAGGTCATGATCTCACAGTTTGTGAGATTGAGCCCCATGTCGGGCTCCTCACTGACAACGTGGAGCCTGCTTGGGATAATCTCTCTCTCTCTCTCTCTCTCTGCCTCTCCCCCCTTGTGCTCGCTTTCTCCTTCGAAATAAATAAAATGAAAAAATAAAATGGTTTTCTTTTAGACAGTATATAGTTGGATCTTTTAAAAAAAAACTTTTGCTTTTTATCAATTACATTTATTTATGTTTAATATAAATGATCTAAATGTATGTAACTTTAATAGTTATCAACCATGTGGTCCAGGTTCAGATATGTCAGTTGAGACCTAGAATTTGTGACCCAGAAACAATTTCAAAATTACAAGTTTCCATTTCAATTTTTTCAGCTATCCTAAGGGGGACACACAGACTACAGCAATCCTTCTCAAAATTTTCCTTCATTTTTCTTTCTACTTTACTCACAAAGTAGGACTCTTCACACTTCTTTCTTTTCGACTCTTCGGAAGACTGTTCCTAAAAGTATCTTCAAAAGGTATCTTCAAAAGGTATTTCTGACACCTTTCTTGGAGGGTAAAGTAGAGGATGAAATTGAGTGGGCAAAACCAGAGTCCTCTTTGGTCCGTAGAAGGAAAGAAACATCTGGGAACAGTCATACATCAATATATTTTGTCTAGTCGTGCTCTCCCATGGTTAGTCTCATGGCTACAAAGAGATGGCCACTATCTAAATTTCCCACGTGCGTTCATTCTCTCTTTTCACAATCCAGTCCCTTCCTTGCCTATTTTGTCAGCCTCTGCTGTGTGGGAGAGGGTATAATTCCCCTCAGCATTTAATCCTCCACTCTCTCCAGACAGTGTCTTTAGTAGGGAAAGGAAAAGAGAGCACAGAGGTATAAGCATTCATTCATTCATTCAACAAAGATTTACTGAGTACCTACTATGTGTGAGGTGCTCTTTGGAGTGTGTTCTGGTAAGCAAGTCAGACAAGATGCCTGCCCTTGTGATACTCACCTCCTAGCAAAAGAGACACACAATTAACAAACAAAACGTATACGTTCAGATGATCCTTACGGGCCATGAAGAAAATCAAGCAGAGAAGGGGAAGGAGAGCAGTTGGCAGCAGGGTCAGAGCTGTTTTTTGCAGGGCAGTCCAAGGACTGAATGATGTAAGGGAGTGAGCTGTGAGAATGTGTGGGGGAGATTTTCTGGGCAGGGACAAGCAAGCGAGGTAGAAAAAGCTAGGTGGATACAAGAGGCTAGGGTGACTTGGGCACTATCAGCAAAAGGGAGAGTGGAGATAGGGAGATGAGGTTAGGGAAGTGGCCAGGCACTTTCATTCAGTATCCTGAATTTCATTTCCTGAATTGATCAGGATAAAATTCTAGAGCAGAGCTGTCCAAGACATGTGTGAACTATATGTGTAATTTTAAGCTTTCTAATAGCCATGTTAAAAGAAATAAAAAGAAATGGGTGTAATTAATATTTATAGTGTATTTCTAAACCAAATATACCTAAAATTAAATCATATAAAATATGTAATCAATATAAAAACTTTATTACTGAGATATTATGCATTCTTTTTTAAGTTTATTTATTTAGAGAGAGACAGAGAAAGCTTGAACAGGGGAGGGGTGGGGGGGGATCCCAAGCAGGCTCTGAATGGTCAGCCTACATACATGGGGCTCAGACTCACAAAACTATAAGATCTTGACCTGAGCCTAAATCAAGAGTTGGATGCTTAGCCAACTGAGCCACCGAAAGTGCCCCGAGATATTCTGCATTCTTTTTTCTTACTAAATGCAATGGACTCAGTGCTTGTATTCCCCTCCCCCAAATTCATATGTTGAAATTCTGACTCTTAACGAGATGGTATGTGGGGTAGGGCCTCTGGGAGGTGATTAGCTTATAAGGATGGAGCCCTCACCAATGGGACTAGTGCTCCTATTTTATTTTTATTTATTTATTATTTTTGAGAGAGAGAGACAGAGAGAGAGCACATGTGAGGGCACACACAGGCATGTGGGCGGGGGAGGGGTAAAGGGAGAGGGAGAATCTTCAGCAGGGTCCACGTCCAGTGCTTAGCCTGATGCAGAGCTCCATCTCACCACTGTGAGATTGTGACCTGAGCTGAAACCAAGAGTTGGATGCTTAACCAATGAGCCACCCCAGCTCCTTGGGATTAGTGCCCTTCTAAAAGAGGTCTCAGAGAGCTCCCATGCCCCTTCTACCATGTGTGGACACGTTAAAACAGCTGTCTTTGAACCAGGAAGTGACTTTTCACCAGACACCAAATCTGCCTATACCTTGATACTGGACTTCCCAGCCTCCAGAACAATGAGGAAGAAATGTTTATTACTTAAGCCCCCCAGTCTGTGGTACTTTGCTATAGCAGCCTGAACAGACTAAGGCACTAAATTTTTGTATTTAGCAGTTACAGTCACAATTCAATTTGGATGCTAAGTTTTCATCCAAAACACTTCATCTATATTTAGACTTCATAAAAAGTATAGCTGAAAAAGTAGATTGAAATATCCAAGTTTTTCCCAATATAGAAGTTCTTCAATAACTGAATCAGTCATCAAGTTTTCAAATTAAAATTAAATTAAATAATACCAAAAATTCAGTTCTTCAGCAGTGTTTGCCACATTCCAAGGGCTCAGAAGCCACATAAGCCTGATAGATGTCATATTGGATAACACATGTGGTTAGCGGGCATCAATAACTGCAATGACCTCTCACTCCATATTTCTCCACAGAGCAGCCAGAGTGATCATTGAAAAATGGAAATCAGTTCACATTGTCCCTGCTTAGAAACTCTAGTGGCTTCCTATGACATTTAGTAAATCCCAATGACTCAAGTGGGGCATCCACTTTGAGGCAGATGAAGAGCTTCTGTATTTATCAATCCTTCTTCTTGAAATCCCATTACAATGACAGTAAAGAAGTACAAGAGGAAATGAATCCATGAGTGAAATAAGAGGTGGAGGAGCAGGGCTGTATCAGCAATGTAGTTTTGGTGAATTTCCCGAAGATTGAAGGTAAATGTGATCTTATCGATTGGTAAAGCAGAGAAGAAGGAGCCATAACTCTTAGCACACAAGAGGCTGCAGGGAACAACAGAGATGCTTTCCATAGCATCTCAGCTACTTAAATGATGAGCTACAAAGACCCGGAGTGGGAGGAGGCACAAGTTCAAGGGAACTGATGGAAAACAGTGAGTGGAAAGGATGTGTGGGTTTGTTGTTCCTCTTCTTCTCCCCCAACTTTGTGCATATTTTGGCAGTGTCCTAAGTAGTGGCTATAGAGAAATTCTTCTAAAGAAATCATGTTATGTCCTTGGATAGGAGCAGTTGGAAAGCCTAGAGCAGAACCTTACTTTGGCATGGGGGTGAGAGAGGAAGTCTTCCTTCCCACCAGTTGACAGTCAGCTTGCACACATAGATCATGTAATCAGCATTTTCATTTTGGAAAGGGACTGGTGATAGAAAACAACCCAAGTAATTCATCTGGCTCCTCATATTCGTCAACACAAAAGGACAACCATGGGCCAGAAGAGAGTTGTGCAAAATCTCAGGACCAAAATGAATAAGAATTCACCCTAGAAGAAACAGAAATTGTTCATGGGATAGCAGTGAACTTTAAAAAAAGTTGAAATTAATATTCTCAGAGAAATTTGAGGAGACAGCGCATCTATAAAATATTAATAGATGACTCTAACAACCCCAAATATTTAATAAGTGTTAGAAATGTAACTCTAAAATGAAAATCTCAACAGAAAGGCTAGAGGAAAAACATCAAAGGACTCTCCCAGAATGTAAAACAAGAGAACAAAAGAGAAAAGTTGAGACAGAGATGACCCATAAAGAAGAGCCAACATACATCTAATAGGTGTTTCAGATTAAAAGTAAAGAAAAAGTAGATCTCCCAGAGCCAAAGATCCATGTCTTCACCCAGTACTAATCCATATGAATGAAGAGCGACCTGTATCTAGTCATATCTTGGAGAAACTTCACAAGCCCAAAGACAAGACTCTTAAAAAGATTTCAAAGGAAAAAAAAAATGAAGAGTTGAGAAATGTACTGGCATCACACTTCTCATCAGTTATGCTTTATACTAGAACACAAGGAATAATGCTTTAAAAATTCTGAGGGACAATGATTTTGAGCTTAGAGTTTTATAGCCAGCCAAATTAACATGTAAGTGGGGAGCAAAGCAAAGATTTTTTTTTTTTTTATGTCCAAGGACTTAAGAAATTTATCACCTACAGACCACTCCTAAAACAACTGCCTAAGGAGGTGTTACAGCAAAATGAAATAGGAATCTAAGAAATAGGAAGATAATCAGTTTGCAGGAATTGGGCAATTAAAGGAAATCCTTGAGCGCTAGTTGTGTAATAGGCTTAAAACATGTGAAGAAACTGCATCATTTTAGAATGGGTAAAGGTATATTACAGCATTACATTAAAAAAAATGTTCCATTTTTCCTTCAAGAGCTACAAGTTTAGTGACGACATCACCTTTGCTACTGGGATGGCTCTATTTGAGCCTACCATGAATATGTTATATTATCAGCACAAGGGAGATAATTCTTGAGAATTAATTTACAGACAATAAATGGAAAACATAACTAACATTAGAGAACAGAATATGTTATAACCTCTGCCAATGAGAAGTAATGCCCATTGAGAGGGCAGAAACACAACGGAAAGTAAGTGAAGGGGGTTGAGTGTCTCGCCTTACCCAGAATAACACTGAGAAACACTGAAGGTGGGGCTGGAGGGGCTGAGCAGGGCGAACAGGTGAGAGACATTGAGCCCACGGGCACAGGGATGAGGGGTAATCCGGGTGGAACGCCCGGGAAAATGGTTGGGGACTGCAGCGAACGTGTGTGGGGGTGGGGGTTGAGCAGAACCGGCTGAGCGTAAAGAGTGGGCGTATGGGCGGAGCCTAGTAGGGTACTAGTAGAGTACTGCGCGGAAGGGGCGGGGCAGGGGCGGGGCAGGGGCGGGGCGGAGCCGGTGGGGAGGTCTCCCCTGTGGCCCCGGACGCCTGCGCAAATCAGCCCTCTGGAAGCTCCAGCCGTCGGGCCGAGCTTCACGTCTTCTCGCGCTTGCTGTCTCCTCAGCCTCCAGTCGCTTCGCTTCACCGGACGCCATGCCCCGCCTGCTCATTCTTCGCCTACTTCCCCGCCGCCGTGTGACCCAATTGGGGCTCCAACCCGGCCGCCGCCTGGCCCGCTCGGAGTCCCGCCGCCGCCAGCACCCCAAGTCGTCTGTGGTGAGTGGCGGCCCACGCCTCACGGCGGCGGGGGCGGGCGAGGGGCGCGCAGCTGGGGCGGGAGCGCCGCGACGGACGGGGATGAGCGGGGGACGTCGGTGACGGGCGGCCGTTGGCGGTCGGGGGAGGCCTCGGGGAGTGCGCAGAGAGCACGGGCAGAGCCGTCGTTGCGCCGCGCGGTGTCCGTCGCCGTCGAACGTCGTCTCGCCGGCTGCTTGCCCGCCAACGCGGGGAATCCTGGGCAGCACCTGCGATCCAGGGTGCAGCGGTCGGAAAGGTGGGGAGGTGGGGAAGGGGGGGGGGGGGGGGGGGGGGCGGAAGAAGAAAGAGGTGTTTGCTTCTCAGGTTGAAGCTGGGTCATCTAGGAAAGGAAGTCCTGTTTCAGGCCTCGTCAGGCCCGCGTCACAGAACAGCCACACTCGTCGGCAGGTGGACGCGGATCTTGCTCGGCCGCGAGGGACTGGCCCGGGGAGCCGCAGGCATTAACAGCGCTTTTCGTCTTCTCTCCCAGGACAGCGCCGTTGTGCTCGTGATGGTTTTTGCGACCTTCTTAGCACCGAGCGGGTATGTGCTGAGCAATCTGAGCGACCTCAGAAGAGCGTAGGTGGAAGAAGCTGTGGAGCTGCGTTAACATCCGAGGAGCTTTCAGAAAAAGCGGTGGCTTGCTTAAAGGAGGAAAAGCGTTTAGCTGGGCTGACGCTGCAGCCATTGTGGGTATTCAGTTCACAACCGTGTGTTTTTGGTAAATATTTTGCAGTTTTTTAGTACTGTGCGTAACATGCAGATGAGTTTGTAGACTCATTTCCAAATGTTGAATAAAGTTGAAGCATTCATGCACGGTATGTGATCTCAGATTATTTTCTTGACAGTGAAAGCTGATGAGAATTTCATGATGAAAAATAGAATAAGAAGAACGGCAAAAGAAGGTCAGGGATGGCGGCGGTCACGCCATCAAATGTATTTTATGGGAGTGAATGCACGTATCTAGCGGCATCAACATTAAAAGATTAGATATGTAGCAGTAAGTAATGTAAGTTAAATGATTCTTCTTACTATTTTTAATGTTCCATTGGTACTTCCCCCTTCATTTATTTATTTTAATTTTTATTTATTTTTAAAATGTTTTTAAAGAGAGAGAGTGGGGGAGGGGCAGAGAGAGGGAGAGAGAGAATCCTGAGCAGGCTCCAGGCTCCTGGCTCCTCATGGAGTATCATCTTGTGAACCGTGAGATCATGACCTGAGTGAAATTAAGAGTTGGATGTTCAACTGACTGAGCCATGCACCCTGATTTTATTTTTATTTAGACAGCATGAGCAGGGGGAAAGGAGCAGAGGAAGAGAGAGAGAATCTTAGGCAGGCTCCATTCTCAGCATGGAGTTTGACATGGGGCTGGATCCCACAACCGTGGGATCCTGACATGAACCAAAATCAACTGTTGGATACTCAACCCACTGAGCCACCCAGCCCTGGTACTGCCCCTTTTAGTAGTGAGATCCAGACTTTACTTTCCACTGGGATAAATACAACTTTTTATTAATTTGTCTTAAGTTTGCCTCTACAGCCTGGGATTTAGTAATTATCTTTGTACTTTATTTGTATCTCTCCTTATTTATGGATTTTGTTATTTTCTGTAAGTCAGGTTTGAAGAACCATATATACATTTGTTTGAATTTTAGCTCACTCTGCCAATTATTGTGACTGTGGGCAACAGATCTAAACTCTGAGACTGTTTCCTTGTCTATGTATGTAATGGGAACTTAAAATTGGTCTCTTGAAGGGATATTGTGGGGGAATAAATCGCTGAACAAAGATAAGACACATTCTAGCATAGTGCCTGAAACAGAGTAATCAATAGATAGAAGTTATTAAGAGAATATATGTTTACTAATATTCATTCAGCAAGTATTGCATTTGTTGATGTGCCAGGTATTGTCCAAGGTCAATGAACCGAAAATAGATCTCTGCCTTTGTAGGACATGGAGGACTTGCATTCTAATTACTTCAATATTGTACTTGCATTTTGAAATTTATATTGGTGTGTTAGATTTCTCCAGAGAAACTGCGACAATTTGTGTGTGTATGTGTGTGTGTATGTGTGTGTGTGTGTGTGTGTGTGTGTGTATATATATATATATATATATATATATATATATATATATATATATATATATAGGGAGAGGGTGAGAGATTGATTAATTGATTTGAAGGAATTGGTTCACAGCTGTGGAAGCTAGCAAGTCCAAAATCTGCAAGGTAGAGAGTCTCTGGCCAGCTGGAGACTCAGGAAAGAGTTGCAGTTTGAGTCTGCAGTCAGTCGCTGGTGAAATTGAACTCTCAGGAAAAGTCAGTATTTGTCTTAAGGCCTTCAATTGCTTGGATGTGGCTTACACACATTATAGAGGGCAATCTGCTTTAGTCAACGTCTGCTGAGCTACATGTTAATCCTGTCCAAAAATTACCTTCACAGAAATATCGAGAATAGCATTTGGCCAAATACCTGGGTACTGTGGCCTAGCTAACACAAAATTAAACTGTCACAATTGGGTAAAATAATTTTTCAGAGGGAAACCATGAAAAGGGTGTGATACTTTTAAAATTTAAAGGTATGAGTACAGTGGCTTATTGAAATCTTACCCACTTAAGTTTACATTCTCTCTTCACTCGTGTCAAACCCACTCTTAGGCCCTTTAAAGAACTCTGGCCCATCAGGACACAGGCTCTGTTTCGGTTTCTTGTATTCACCAAGACCATGTTTGAACTTACTGCCCATTTTGAACTTACTTTTTTCTTTTCTGACTCTGATGATTTTGTGCTTAAGCTTCTGATACCTGCCTGTATACGTTACAGCTAATGACAGAAGACTGGTCTACCTTTGTCCTGGCTGGGGAAACTATTGAACTATAGGAATAACAGTCTTTTCCCTAGGGGCACTGGGGTGGCTTAGTTGGTTAAGCATCCAGCTTCAGCTCAGGTCATGATCTCATGGTTCGTGAGTTTGAGCTCTGCATCTGGCTCTGTGCTTACATTGCAGCGCCTGCTTAGGATTCTCTTTTTCTCTCTCTGCCCTTCCCCCACGTGTGCTTTCTCTCTCTCTCTCTCAAAATAAACTTCATTAAAAAAAAAAAAAAGGAGTCTCTTCTCTAGAACCCTAGCACCTATTTTCTGAACCATTTATTTGACATTATTCTCATGGAATAATGCTCAGTATTGGGAAGTGGTAGGTCATTTTGATGAGTGAACGCTATTGCCCTGTCACGTTATTTAACTTTCAATGCATGAAAGTGTCACATTTGTTATTTGGGGTAGTTATACTCTATAATAGTCACCATGAACACTGAATTAGTGAATCTGGAACCAATGCTCCTAGGAGAAATAACACGTTAGGTTCCTGTGAGCCTTGTCACAACATTTAAACACTATGTATGGGGTCCATTTTAAACAGGGAATTCATCTACAAAAAAGGACAAAATTATAAAAAAGTGAGACCAAATAGGCTATGGGAAGGACATTAATTTACAGTATTCCAGAATGAGAGCTGGAACAAGAAGGCAGAACTTGTCATTGTTCAACCTCAGCACTGCATGATTCAAATTTCTTGCCACTCTCTCTGTGAATGATGTGAAAGTGTTGCATTGATTTTGAGTTTGAAAATAATTTTAGTGAGTAGGAGAATTTGCAGACATGGAATCTACAAATAATGGGGATTAAGTGTTAAGAGGAGGTCTTGCTCTCATTTATGAATCATTTTGGAAATTCTTATTTTGATATTTTAAGAATTTGCAGGATGTTCTTTTGGGAAGAAGTAAGGCTGGAGAAACCATCCCTTGAGGTTGGATTTTTGAGGAATAGCTTTAAAAATGTGGGTTTGACTTGGAATAAATGAAGTAGTGCACTTCTTCACTTAAAATGAGATTTGATAATAAAGTAATGATCTTAGTGAAACTGACAGGGAAACTGCAAAAATTATAAAATATTTTGATAGTGATATCATTGGTGGATTAGAACTTTCACTGTCCATTTCCCAGATGAGTACTCTATTGGCCAACATCCAGTTGGATATAAAATTCTGGCATCTGATACAGTTAACTCATTAGTGGGTATGTATAATGCCTGTCTGTCTCATCTCCACCACCAGATTTAAAATTCCTTGAGGTAGAGTGACATATAATATTTTTAATCTTTAGGTGTAGCATAGTGGATAAGTCAAAATATTTAATCAGAAGACTGAAATTGCTCCTTCCTATAACCAGGTACTTAGTGAGCCTCTATTATGTATGGAAGATAGTTCCTATCTTGTTTTTTCCAGTGCATAACTCAATGCCTGGCACATATTCTGAGCTTTTTGTTTGTTTGTTTGTTTGTTTGTTTGTTTTTTGTATACCAGTTGAGTGGTTAAACTGCTGGTAAGACAAATAGGTTCATCTCACTTGCCAAATTCATCTTTTCTAGTAATGGCTGTAGTGCTATGTTGAGGAAGATTATAAAAGAAATGAAATAACTTCAATCAGCGGTGTAAATAAAATGTATCATCTATGTTGACTGAGCAGATCAATTTTTCCTTGATAATTTTTGGCAAAGAAATTCATAGAAATTGTACATTAGGCAAGGGCTTATGAATTGTGTAATATTTTAATTTATAAGCATGATGAACACAGTAATTTTTAAGCATGATAAAATATTTGTGACAAATATTCTGAGATTCTTAGAAGAAAGGTTGATAATTATGAAATATTTCTATTTAGAAGGATAAGGAGTGAGTTATTTTTCAATACAGGAAACATTTTTCTGAAAAGTTCCATTTATTTTTAAAGTTCTGTTGCTATGGCAAGTTGCCGAATTTGGGTAAATCACTTGACTTCTAGAATCCTGTTTCCTTTTCTGTAAAATTAACAGGTTGACCTAGACCAGGAATTTTTAGCTTTTTGCTTTACTCAGATCAATACATAATTATTGAAGTATTTTGTGGCTTACCATGTGAACAGGGCATTTGGTTTTTTTTTAATGGTAACCTGAGTTAGTAAGAATTACATTTTATAAATCAAATATTATTTAAAAGTATATAAGATTTAATAATAAGTATATAAAATCGATCCTATTTATAATTTATCCATAAACAAGTGCATACAATATGATGTTTGGGTAGGCCTTTCAGTGGGGAAAATCACTTCTCAAATGTCATCTACGTTATGTCAGCCTTCACTCTACTCAGCTTTATCACTACATTGTTCCCACCACACCTTTACTTGGCATTAGTTAGATTTCCACTCGATTCTTCTCTATTAGGACCTTGCAATTTTTTCTTTTTTACTTACCCAGCCTTTCCACCTTGTCTACTTTCATTTAAGTGTTCTATTGCCAATACCTTTAACTTATTTGCCATTTTATTTTATTTTATTTTATTTTATTTTATTTTATTTTATTTTATTTTATTTATTTTATTTTATTTTATTTTTTATTTTATTTTATTTTATTTTTGTTCATTGTACTCTTCAAAATACAAACCATGGATCAGTCATAGTCCCTCAATTTTGGCTTGGGCAAGTGCCGCAGAGGAAATCATAGAATCACACGGTTAGTGCTATTAGAAATTCATTGTTTCCATACTCATAATCCCACAATGCTGCCTAAAATTTTTTCTCTTTTCCTTTACTTTTCAGGGTAGTGACTAATTTAAATCTCGCATATGTGAACTTTTTATTCTATTAGCTCTCTACCCAATTTTAGCAGACTACCTCATTTTCTAATTCACAGAGAAAGTTGAAACTGTTCCTTAATTGTTGCCCCCCCTCCATCTACAAATGTAACAGAATTCTCCCCATCTTTCCTCTTAGTGCAGAGAAGGGGAATTACTGTTCTAAGGCTGAATCCCTTTGCCTGTGCTTTGGGTCCTACATCCTTCCTCTGGGATATAAAGCTCTAGAAGTTGTCTAAATTTGATTTCTTACTCTATTGATTCTATCTCAGATAATTTAAATATGCTCAGCTTCCAGCCTTTAAAATAGAAGAAAAGGCCCTAAGATCCCTCTTTTA